GAGCAGATAGACTAGGGAGGGCATTTCAGGCAAAGTGGTAAAAAGAAGGCAAGAAAGGGTGATACGGTCAGCGATGCTCTCTCTTCTCTAAGGAAGGGATTTCGAGCTGAGAACATTTTTTCTTGAGACCTAATTCTCCAAATAGCCAAGTTACAAGTAAGATATTCTTGGCAAAAATGCAGTTATTTTCTGGGGAAAAGCATTAATTTTATCATAGGTTCCCTTTTTTCCTAGAGACAATAACATGAACTATTACAGAATTGACCAGTTTCTTTTCACCAGCAGACGGTTCTCTGTCTAATTCACCATCGAGTCAACCCATTAAACGTCATCATACAAAATTACCAAGAAAACTGTTAGGTTCTGTGCATTTTCATTGCATGTTCTCCTTGACTTCTTCTTTGTATGTCCTTTGCTGTGGTTCTTAATGTAATAGCTCTTCTCCAGTAGTCGGGGTCACGCCTCTCCTTACAGATCCTACAGGGAGAGAATTATGACACCCATCAGGGATCTGGAGATAAATATGCATTGATAAATATTTGATGAAATTGATAAAATATCACTTCAAGCCTTGATTGAGTCAAGTGCATTAAAACAGTCCTGAGATACTCAGTAGCCTTCACTGGGAGGCTGCTGAAACGTTGTCCGCACAGAGCTGCGTCTGGGCTGGCAGGTGGGCACTGGCTTGTTGGCCTGTCTGTGGGTTTAGGTTCTAGGCCTTTGTGCTGGTGGCCTTGGGAGCATGTTGTGAGGCACGGTTTGGAGAAAAGTCCCTTTATACCCTATGTTTCTTTCTTTTCTCATAGCTTTTTTTTTTTTTTTTTTTTTTTTTTTTTTTTTTACTGTTTGACACAAGCATACTTCTTAATTAGGGGCTTGTTTACAAGTTTTAAACATTCATTTGTTTAATAATTGTTTTCTTTTTCCAAGCTCTTTCTGAAAGCTACCTTGGGGTAGGGCAGCTCTTATTTCTGCTTATCCCTCAAGGTGTTTCGCAGAGTTGTGAGGGTGTAATAAGTGTCTAAGGCATACTTTCCTATTGTTCAGTAAATTTAACAAAAATCTATTTGAGGTGTAAATATTTGTTCTAACAGCATCATACACTGGGACCCAGCCTTGGTCAGTACTTTTCTGCAACAGAATCGTACTGTAATGCCAATTTCCGGTTTCTATGTAAGCCTCTCTTCTAGACTCTGAGCATCTTGAGGGAAGAGGTATGGAAAGCTCATCGAGTCATTCAGTGAGCATGTCCTGAGCAGTGACTATGTGACATACTAGGCAGTGCCGACACAATGGTGCAGTAAGTACACCCAGGCTCGCAGCTCACGATTCTAATATGAGAGAGAGAGAGAGAGAGAGAGAGAGAGAGAGAGAGACACTAAACAAATATATCATTTAATTTGTAGTAGAGGTAAGTGCTATTAAAAAAAGGGAACCTAACCTACTCTTGGAAGTTAGCCTGAGGAAGTGAAATGTAAGCTGTGACCTGAAAGATGAGTAGGAGTTTTCCAGGCTGAGAGGTAGGAAGCTCATTCCAGCATGCAAGTGCTCTCAGCTGTGAAAGAACCTGATGGGTTCAAGGGACAGGAAAAGGCCAGTATAGATGCAGAATATTGAGTAAGGGGAAAGATCAAGTAAGACGCATCTAGAGAAGTAGATAGGAGTTGGGATCAGGTAGGCCAGGCTAAGGATTTGGGACTTACTCCCAAGAGCCATGAGAAGCCATTGAAAGAAGCTAAGAGGGAAGTGTTGCAGTGAGATTTGTGTTTTGAAAATGTCACTCTGGTTGCAAGATGGGGACTTGGACTGAATGAAGGATGGTGCTGAGGTCGTTCAAGGGGGAGGCAATGACGGCTTGGGTCAGGGCACCCAGTAGTGATGGGAATAAGTTGGCAGGTGGAAATACCTAAGAGATTGAGAATTGGCCGGAAGTTGGGTGGAGTGAAATGAGGGCAGGAAAGATGTCAAGGATTAATGCGGTTTATTGAGACGAATGGCTCTAGAGGAAAAGAAGTTTGGGGACCAGGCGGTGACTTCAGTTTTGAACATGTTGAATTTGAAAGGCCTTTAAGAGATTCGCAACAGAGATGTTGGGTGAAGAGTTGGATGCATTGGTCTAGAGCTTACAGAGTGTCTGGGCTGTAGCCTTTGAGCATCTATAGTATGCATTTGGTGAACAAAGAAATGGATGGCCCAGGAACAAACCTTGGGGTTCTCTGACATTTTAAATTTCACCAGAGGATGGAAAGCTGGCAAAGAAGAGAATGCTCACATGCTGATGGCGAGAGTGTGATGTCACCAGAGCCAGTGGACAGTAACAGTTCAAGAAGGCGGTAGCCAGCTGTGGTCAGCCTAGCGCCAAGGCACTGAGTGTGGTGTGCTCTCAGCAGTGCGTGTTGGGCCTAATGCAGAGAGGTCATGGGTGACCTCAGAAGACAGGCTGATGTGGTTCAAGAAATGGGATGTGAGCAAGTAGAGAGAACCTCCTGAGAAGTCTGGCTGTGAACAGGAGAAGAGGGAACAGCAGCTAAAGGGGATATGACTCCAACGGGGGAAACTGGAGTATGTTTAAGTGTTGGTAGAAAGGATTCAGTAGTCAAGGGGCAATTAGAATATCTGATAGCCCAAAGCTCCTGAAGAGTGAGAGGAAGATGAGATCCAAACCTAAACGGTGAGGGTTCGCTCGGGGGAGGGCAGACTGCTCCCTGCACTGTGATGGGAGGGAAGGGGGGATAGGAAGGCCCACGGGTGAGCAGGCTCCTGTTTTCTCGGTGAAGCAGCAGGCGAGCCAGCGACTGAGTCCCGGAGCAGGGAGGTTAGTGGGAGGTTTGGGAGAGCCTAGAGGGCTCAGGTGACACTGAAGACAGACGTTTTGATCACACCTAATCCACACTGCTGTATAATTTTTCCCAGGAAGAGTTAGTTATGAAGAACACAGAGCAGCAGGATAACACAACTGATTCATGGCTGGCTTTTTTTTTTCACAACCAGATGTGATAAAAGGTCAGAGAGGCAAGAGAGTTTATGTCATGTGCAACAGAACGTCAAATACTGGTGGATAGACTCAGACAAGGGAAGAGAGTCATGACGCGAGGGGACTGATGGTGGGAAGGAAGGGAGATCAGTGGCCTGGAAGTTCCCATGATGTTGGAAAGAGCCTCAACAGCGGGGTTACCTGAGTAAGCAGCCTGACTACGAGATGACTTGGGAAGCGGTGCCATTTTGGGTGACGACGAGATCCGGAGGGTTTTCTTTGCGTGTGTGGCCCAGCCGGGTTTGGGGAAGTGGCCCCTGAGGATGAGCCGGTTAATGATCTGTGAGGGCAGCAGATGGGGTAGGACAACCGGGAGGGCGGGCGCTGGGGCCGCCTCGGGCAATGGTGGAGCAGGGACGGAGCGGCACCCGGGGAGCCGGGGCCGAGGTCTTCCTGAGCGGTGCGTGTGCAACATCAAGGGATTCCAGGGAGACAGTGAGGTCGGAGGGCATTGAGTGGCCTGGCAGGACTCCTGCATTACCCCAGGGAGCGAGGAGCCCTGGGAGGGCTTCTCAGAGGAGGGGTGGGCCACGAGGGGCCAGCGGTGTTGGGGCCTGTTGCATCGCGAGTCTTGGAGGAGCAGGAAGGAAGCACAGCCCAGGAGGGGTGCTGGGAAACGAGGGCACTTTCCTCTCTGCCAGTCCCGGGGCACGTGGGGTGTGAGAAAGTGCACGTCTTTTCCTGAAGAAGCTGCAGGGTGCAATGTCTTCACCCAACAGGCAAGTTAAATCAGAGCTGGGAGTTGGAGAAAGTATTGAGACGAGGACAAGGACGCAGGAGCTTGAACAAGAGACGGAAATCTGAGAGCTGGGGAGGGAGGGTGACGGTGTGGGATCTTCATCGAAACGAGGCCCAGAGCAGCATGACAGGAGGGGGTAGCACATTCCAGGAGCCAGTGTGTGTGTGTGTGTGTGTGTGTGTGTGTGTGTGTGTGTGTGTGTGTGTGTGTGTGTGTGTGTGTGTGTGTGTGTGTGTGTGGGTGTGTGTGTGTGTGTGTGTGTGTGTGTGTGTGTGTGTGTGTGTGTGTGTGTGTGTAGGGGGGAGGGGAGGAGACGGAAGGGGCAGACCAGACTGAGAAAAATCACGGAACAGAGCAAGGGGGTTTCAGTCCTGATACTCTTTTCATTGCCTCTTGGGCTTGACGGAATTCATCTCTGGCCTGGATTCATTATGTATTGTTTAGTATAGTATATGTAGTATACTGTAATATTGTATATATATTGATAGCAAATTATAGAATAGCATAGTATATATAGTATAATATAGTATATATAGTTTTGTACGGTATAGCATATAAAGTATAGTGTATATAGTTTAGGATAGTGTAATACAGTATAGTATAGTGCAGTATAGTAGAGTATGCTATATATATACAGTATGGTACAGTACAGTATGATATGGTCCATACAGAATAGTATCATATAGTGTATATAGCACGGCACAGCCCAGTACAGAATGGTCAGGCAGTTGGCTCTTCAGCCGCTGGGACACACTTGAGTGGCACAGGGAGGGCCATGTCACTGTCTTCTCTGTGCCCCATTTGCTGGTTCAGCTTCTGTCCACCTTTTGGGGGAGCCTTGCTGTGGCTGAGTGGGAGTTTCATGGGGAACCACAAACCAGACTTCACCCACTCACCTGCTCAGCTCATGGCTGTGTTGCCTTTGCCAGTGTTATTCTGTTGAAGACATGTCATGTTCTTCTGGGGGTTTTTTTTGTACTTAAATTTCTTCAATGCCTATTCATTTTGCTCAGCCTCTGATGTTAGTTGCTGTTCATATTATCTATTACAGCACTGATGTTTTCTGCTAAATCATTTTATAAAACATCACAAGTACCCAATAAGTGTTTCCGGTGACGGTTTGTTTTTAATTTGTAAAGTCTTGATGAATATCATTTGCATATTTTAGTCTTTCCAGTTCCTCTTTGCTGAGGGTGTTTTCAAGGTATGTTCTTTTACTTCCTGAAGGGGCAAATGATGTGAAAATCCTTCCAGGTCAAGCTGTTTGTCCCACTCCAGGGTGCCGAGGGATAGGCCATATCCGTGGTCCGCGGTACTCAGGACATCACAGGTAAAATTTTTTCTTATTTAAATTATTTCAGGGATGAACTGAAACATGATGCAGACTAGCAGCTGTAGGAAGCGTCGTAATGACCCTCTGGGAGCCGGACACCTCCCCATCATACTCCCCCATCGCTGTCCCGAGGCCCCTCTTCAACATTTCCTGTGTCTGCCCAGCCTGCCTTCCTCCGGGCCTTTTGGCCTCCTGAGGCCCAGCCCAGACCACCAAGCTTCCCAGGGCCTCTGGCCTCTGACACTTGTCTCAGCAGGTGCACACATGCCCCACCCTTCGTCCCTCGCACTCCTGAATCCTCCCCACACAGCTGCCCGTCTCGCCGCCTTCTCAAGAAATTCCAGAACCTCCTGCCGCTTCACCCCTGGCTCTCACCTTGCCTCTGTTTCTTTTTCTCTATTTTTTATTTATTTGGGGATGAGGTAATTCTGTTATAGGATAAAAAATAGCGTGAAGTTATGTTGCAGAATATGCCTGTGTTTTAAATATGTGATAATAGTATGGAGAGGATAGTACTCATAATGAAAAATAAGTACAAATAAGTGTTGAAGTCCTCGCTGCTTTTTCTGTCACCATCAAGTGGTAAAGTAACATATAGATAAATTATTCATATTGGTGATCTAGTTACAGAATATGTAAATTAAAGCTGAACAGGATTGACATCAGATTTGTCCAAATACACAAACAGATAAAACAAACACGTAGATAACTATGAAGAGAAAAGGATAAATCATATATGTGAAACAAGGAAATGTTTGTTTGGATGAAAGAGATCCACAGAGAAGTCGTCGCTGTGTCAGGTGCTTGCAGCTCTGGAAACCAGTGCTTCAAACAGCTCTAAATGAATCAAAGCAAGTGTTACTATAAGAAATAATGCTGATGTACATAAATATGTTATATGTGTAAATATAATACTAACACTTAATTGAAAGAGTTCTAAGTCTTTTGTCACAGATATTTAAAAATCAAATACCTACTCTTGCACATGTTTGAAAAAGTGGCACAAATTGGTTAACGTATTACATCAGCTTCTTTGCATTCAAAATCAGACCCTCGTGAATCTCCGTTTGACTTGGCATCCTGGATGCCCATGTTTTTCCACACAACACTTGTATCATTAAGAACCTTGGTGGTGCAGCATTTCTTGAGTTCTCCGCTCGAAAAGGGGGCTTCCAAGGTGTTGGTAATATTGTTTCTTGATCTGGTGCTGATAACCAGGGATGTATTCAACTTGTGAAAATTCATTGAGCTTAAGTACACTAATAATACTTGTACTGTTCTTTATGAATATATTATACATCAGTAAAAAGTTGAAAATTAAAATAAAACACTAACACTTAAAAGATTGTAATATAGCAACCATAAAAAAGAAAGAAATTGAAGACATGTAGACACCTTGGTTACTTGGACAAGTGCAGGACTCGCAGATTGTAAGAGAGGCCCTGGTGGTGAAGCTGGAGTTCTGTATGAGGGAAGGGAGGAAGAGAGAAAACGACACGGGGGAGCGGGTGGGGGAAAGAGCCATCCCATCATCGGGTCGGGTTCTGTGTGAGGTGAGGACCCTGTCGATAGAACCACTTTCCAGACATTACTAGGGGTGTGTGGCTGTGAATAATCTTCTTTAGTCTTTTCTTGTGTGTTTATGTTAGTTTTTAAAAACCTAGAGCTGCAAAGTCCAACATGGTAGTTGTAGTCATATGGGTCTGTTTACATGGAAATTAATTACAATAAAAAATAATGAAAATTTCAGTTTCTCAGTCACAGTAGCCACATCTCAGTTGCTCAAGGAGCCACCTGTGGCTCGTGGCTGCCATACTGGACGGCCCCAAAAGTTCCTCTGGACAGCCCTTGAGAGAGCATACCAGGTTCTGACTCCTCACGGTGGATTTTTGAGTGCCAGGTATTTCTGGATGGATAACTGGACATCCTAGTGCCTCCTTCAAAGCTTGAATCATTATCCTCAGAGTGAGCCGGCCAGTACATGGTGGTCGGTCTGTCCCTTATTGTCCTCCGCAGTTGCCCGCCTGTGGCACCAGGGCTGGGGTCACAGACATCACCCGGGCAGCTCCTGGGACCGCCGAGGAGCTCACTCACCCCAGCTGACTTGCCCCCCTCCCCCCCGACCGCGATTCTTATGTGTAGGTTATTCACCTTCCCCTACTTGGATTCTGAAAACCTGGACCAGATCACAGTGGGCACACTCCACTGTGTTTCAGCAGCTTCCCTGAACTTTCTCATCCAGTATGGCCCAAGTGGGTCTGATTGCTGTTCTTAGTTATAGTATCTAATTATAAATAATGTGAGACTATCTGACGTGATTCTCTCCAGCAAGTAGCCTTTACCGGGTTGGCATCAGAACTTTGGAAGAAACCAGAAAAATGTAAAAATAAAGAAGTGTTTGTTAAAAAAGGCATTCTATGAAGCTTAGAAAAATATGAGATAACTGAACACGTGATAGAAGAATGGGACTTTAAAAAAATTTTTTTTACTTTTTTTATTAACATATAGTTGGTATGCAATATTATATATTGCAGGTGTACAACATAGTGATTCCCAATTTTAAAGATTATATTCCATTTATAGTTATTGTAAATATTAGCTATATTCCCTGTGTTGTGCAGTTTATCCTTGTAGCTTATTTATTTTATACGTAGTTTGTACATCTTAATCCCCTAACCCTGCCTTGCCCCTCCCCACTTCCTTCTGCCCAGTGGTAACCACTAGTTTGTTCTCTATATCTGTGAGTCTGTTTTCTTTTTTGTTATATTCACTAGTTTTAATTTTTAGATTCCATATTGTATGATATAAGTGATATCATACAACATTTGTCTTTCTCTGACTTACTTCATTTAGCATAATGCCCTCCAAGTCCATCCATGTTGCTGCAAATGGCAAAATTTCATTATATATGTTCCATGTAATTATATATACAATTATATATATATATATATTCCATTGTATAGATACACACCACATCTTCTTTATCCATTCATCTGTTGGTGGACACTTAGGTTGTTTCCATGTCTTGGCTATTGTGAATAGTGCTGATATGAACATTGGGGTGCACATATCTTTTTTTCTTTTTTTAAAACATCTTTATTGGAGTATAATTGCTTTACAATGGTGTGTTAGTTTCTGCTTTATAACAAAGTGAATCAGTTATACATATACATATGTCCCCATATCTCTTCCCTCTTGCATCTCCCTCCCTATCCCACTCCTCTAGGTGGTCACCCAAGCTGATCTCCCTGTGCTATGCGGCTGCTTCCCACTAGCTATCTATGTTACGTTTGGTAGTGTATATATGTCCATGCTACTCTCTCACTTTGTCCCAGCTTTCCCTTCCCTCTTCCCATATCCTCAAGTCCATTCTCTAGTAGGTCTGTGTCTTTATTCCCGTCTTGCCCCTAGATTCTTCATGACCATTTTTTTTTTTTTTTTAGATTCCATATATATATATTAGCATATGGTATTTGTTTTTCTCTTTCTGACTTACTTCACTCTGTATGACAGACTCTAGGTCCATCCACCTCACTGCAAATAACTCAATTTTGTTTCTTTTTATGGCTGAGTAATATTCTATTGTATATATGTGCCACATCTTCTTTATCCATTCATCTGTTGATGGACACTTAGGTTGCTTCCATGTCCTGGCTATGGTAAATAGAGCTGCAATGAACATTTTGGTACATGACTCTTTTTGAATTATGGTTTTCTCAGGGTATATGCCCAGTAGTGGGATTGCTGGGTCATATGGTTGTTCTATTTTTAGTTTTTTAAGGAACCTCCATACTGTTCTCCATAGTGGCTGTATCAATTTACATTCCCACCAACAGTGCAAGAGGGTTCCCTTTTCTCCACACCCTCTCCAGCATTTATTGTTTGTAGATTTTTTGATGATGGCCATTCTGACTGGTGTGAGATGCACATATCTTTTTGAATTAGTGTTTTCGTTTTGGGGGCATATATACCCAGGAGTGGAATTGCTGGGTCATATGGTAGCTCTATTTTTGATTTTTGAGGAACCTCCATACTATTCTCCACAGTGGCTGCACCAGTTTACACTCCCACCAGCAGTGCATGAGGGTTCCCTTTTCCCCACATCCTCGCCAGAATTTGTTATTTGTGGTTTTTTGTTGAAGGATGGAACATTTTTAGGGAACTATGAGGCAGGATATGTTTTGTATCCAGACCTCACATCCACGGGGCAGCCCCTGGTGATGGCGCTATGACTGTGTGACTGGGCCGCAGCTCTTCTGCTGGCCTAGACCTTGTTATGCTGGAGCAGGGCTCCTGTGAGAAAAAGGAACATCTTCAAAATGGAATCACCTTAGTGATTCCGTTGTCTCAGAAAAGAAAAATAAAAAGCAATGAGCCCCTGTACTTGGCTTCTCTCTAGAATTGAAAAAGACAAAAATTAGAGAACTGAGTTTTCCTTGGACTTGCGTTTTTATATAGAATTTATAAAGCATTTAGACCATCAGGTAAATAAATTCTGACTTACCTGTGAAAAGCTTTTCTTACATTGAACATTATGTTGTGCTCAAGGAAGGGGGAGGAACATCTTGTTGGAGGAGTGGTGACCGCAAGGCAGTGTAGGAGGGTGGGGTCGCGGGTGATGGAAGGTCGGCTCTTGTAGGCACCAGGCGTTTCTGTCTCCTGCTTTAATCACTTTCAGTGACGGTCTGTCTTTGCCAATTTTAGCTTTGAGGTGCTCGTTACTCATTGACTGATTCCATTTTCAGTCAATACACTGATTTCTTTTTAACAGCTAAATCTGTTTTGTTTTATAAATTTATTTATTTAATTTATTTTTGGCTGTGTTGGGTCTTGGTTGCTGCATGCGGGCCCTCTCTAGTTGCAGTGAGCAAGAATCACTCTTCATTGTGGTGTGTGGGCTTCTCATTGCGGTGGCTTCTCTTGTTTCGGAGCACAGGCTCCAGGCACGCAGGCTTCAGTAGTTGTGGTATGCAGGCTCAGTAGTTGTGGCTCATGGG